TGGCTCCCTCGGCCAATAAAGCGAGATGAGCGCCACAACCCCAGAGTCTGTCACGACTGGACCTAATGGCCAGGGGTCCCTTTACCTTTGCCTTTAGGTAGGTAGGTAGATAGACAGACAGACCTTGCAGCGGTTCTCACCCAAGGGTCCCCAGATGTTGTTGGACTACAACTCCCATCATCCCTGAGCTCTGGCCTTGCTAGCTAGGGGTGATGGGAGTTGTAGTCCAACAACATCTGGGGACCCACAGGTTGAGTACCGCTGCCTTAAGGGAAAACAGATATACACAGTGATTCTTCCCACTGCAGAATTAATTTTTGTCTGGGGAGGATGAGATCTCAAGAGCTGCTAACCGCAGAGGGTGGGCGCCTGACCGAGGTTTTAAGATTCCAGTGACAGCACTGACCGAAAGCCGGGTTTTCCGCCCAGACCCCAGGCACTTCTGCAAAGAGGTTATTTTGGGTTCTGTTGGTCACACATGGCATCTGCGGTCTGGTCACAAGGTGCCTCGCTGCAGCTCACACGCCTCGCCGCCCCCTGCTCCCGCCCACCTCCTCTCTCCCGTGGCCTTGTGTGGACGGCTTGGGAAGCTTTTCAACATCTACATGCAGCCGCTGGGAGAGATCATCAGGGGGTTTGGGCTGGGTGTCCATCAGTATGCGGATGATACCCAGCTCTACCTCTCTTTCAAATCAGAACCAGTGAAGGCGGTGAAGGTCCTCTGTGAGTGTCTGGAGGCAGTTGGAGGATGGATGGCGGCTAACAGATTGAGGTTGAATCCTGACAAGACAGAAGTACTTTTTTGGGGGGACAGGGGGCGGGCGGGTGTGGAGGACTCCCTGATCCTGAATGGGGCAACTGTGCCCCTGAAGGACCAGGTGTGCAGCCTGGGAGTCATTTTGGACTCACAGCTGTCCATGGAGGCACAGGTCAATTCTGTGTCCAGGGCAGCTGTTTACCAGCTCCATCTGGTATGCAGGATGTGACCCTCCCTGCCCACAGACTGTCTTGCCAGAGTGGTGCATGCTCTGGTTATCTCCCGCGTGGACTACTGCAATGCGCTCTACGTGGGGCTACCTTTGAAGGTGACCCTTGAAATTATAGCTAATCCAGAATGCGGCAGCTAGACTGGGGACTGGGAGCGGCCGCTGAGACCACATAACACCGGTCCTGAGAGATCTGCATTGGCTCCCAGTACGTTTCCGAGCACAATTCAAAGTGTTGGTGCTGACCTTGAAAGCCCTAAACGGCCTCGGTCCAGTATATCTGAAGGAGCGTCTCCACCCCCATCGTTCTACCCGGACACTGAGGTCCAGCGCCAAGGGCCTTCTGGTGGTTCCCTCGCTGCAAGAAGCTAAGTTACAGGGAACCAGGCAGAGGGCCTTCTCGGTAGTGGCCCCTGCCCTGTGGAACGCCCTCCCACCAGATGTCAAAGAGAAAAACAACGACCAGACCTTTAGAAGACATCTGAAGGCAGCCCTGTTTAGGGAAGCTTTAATGTTTGATGTTTTTGGAAGCCGCCCAGAGTAGCTGGGGAAGCCTAGCCAGATGGGCGGGGTATAAATAATAAATTATTATTATTATTATTAGGCCGAGACAAAGCCACGGAGGAGGGCAAAGCGATCGATGGCTACTGGCCACGGTCGCTTTGCTCTGTCGCCGTGGCCGAAGGACGTGGTACTTCTTCTGCATCCCAGGGGCTAAGGGATCACCAGGTGGGGAGAGTTGCCCTGGATGCTAGCTGTCAAAATGAGTTGGAAGGGAACCCAGGGGTCATCTAGTCCAACCCCCTGCAATGCAGGAGCCCCGGCTAAACAATAAGCGTGGGCCAATTCACAGGGGAAGATGATCTGTCAGTGGCTATTAATCCGCATCCATTCCATGCCTTGAAAGCACATTTATAGCACCCCCAAAAAATTTGGAAACTGTAGATTAAAGGTGTAAATTAAGAGGTAAACTACTAACCATTCCAAATTTGTCCAGTCCTTGTTTAAAACTGCCCCTCACCGCCTCCTGTGCAGGGCCTTGCGGAGCCAGGCAGAGGCCAAGGCCGGGTAGATAATGTGCCCCCCCTTTTTTACCCTGGGGATAACTGAAGTCTTATAAATAAGTATATAAATAATTTTCACAAAAGTTATGCTGACGAATAATTTTATTTCAAGGCTTGAACTGTATCTGCATATAAAGACAAAATGGAAAATAAAGATATACAATAGTGCTTTTTAAAAATACATAGGGAAAGGGATTATTTTAAGTACTTACAGGGAATCCGCCCACCACCGCCTTTGCGCCTCCGCGTTCGCCCCAGTGCATCCCCTGCGATATGTTGACCGAGGCCCCTTTGGAATCGGAGGCCCGGGCCAAGTGGCCCATATGGGCCCCCCCGCCATCTAGGCCTGCTCCTGTGGCAGTGAGTTCCACAGTTTAACTCTTGTGCTGTGTGGAGAAGCGCTTCCTTTCACTTTGCCCTGAATCCCCCGGCAGTCAGCTTCGTTGGTGTGTCCCCGGCTGCCCAGCCTAACCCGCCTAACAAAGGAGGGCCAACCATGCGTGAGTTTTGATTTTCAAGTTTGCACGAATCTGCAATGCAGACATCTCGGCAGAAAAGTCCTGATGCAATTAACCCTTCCCAAGGGGAGGGGGGGTGAGTCAGAAGCAGCGTCTGCAGAGGCATCCCAGCCAAGACATCCGCCTTGTTGCCTTGCATGCTCCAGACAAAGGGAGCCTTCATCGCAGGGGGGCGGGGGGGGGGGGAGGTACAGGCTAGGAAGGAAAAGGGCCTTGAGTGAGGCAGAGAGGAGAGAGAGAGATTGAGAGAGTGTTTCCTTCTAGCAGCAAAGGGAGGCCTAGTAACTCTGACGGCAATACTAAGCCAGGCTTTCATTGAAAGGCTTGCCTATCTTATCACTATCCCTGACGTAGCGGCTGGTGTGTTGGGACCAGGTCCTGGGTTCAAATCCTCCTTCAGCCATGGGCCCCACTAAAGCAAATACCGTATTTTTCGCCCTATAGGACACACTTTTCCCCCTCCAAAAATGAAGGGGAAATGTGTGTGCGTCCTATGGGGCAAATGCAGGCTTTTGCTGAAGCCTGGAGAGCGAGAGGCGTCGGTGCACACCACCCCCTCTTGCTCTCCAGGCTTGCGGACAGCAGCCTGTTCTGGGGGCTGGGGTCGGGAAAAATATTTATTTATTTATTTATTCCCCCCCCCAAAAAAAACTAGGTGCACCCTATGGGCCAGTGCACCCTATAGGGTGAAAAATACGGTAATCTAATTGGTCAACGTCTAAAAGATATTGAGCACCAGAACAACTTGGCCACAACATTGGTACCTTGGGTTACATACGCTTCAGGTTACAGACGCTTCAGGTTACAGACTCCGCTAACCCAGAAATATTACCTCGGATTAAGAACTTTGCTTCAGGATAAGAACAGAAATCATGCTCTGGTGGCGCAGCGGCAGCAGGAGGCCCCATTAGCTAAAGTGGTGCTTCAGGTTAAGAACAGTTTCAGGTTAAGAACAGACCTCTGGAACAAATTAAGTTCTTAACCTAGGTACCACTGTATAAGGAAATTCTGCCCTTGGTATGTTCAGTTGCCACCTCTCTGTTTTGATTCTCTGGCCCCATATCTGCACAAACTTATTATCCCAAAATACAGACGCGCTTTTACACTTGCAAGACTGGATGTTTTGCCATCTGCGGTACTCAAGGTTCGATTCCAAAAGATCCCGCCTGAGAAATGTCTTTGCCCCTGTGGAGATGGTAGCACCGAAACAGCGGCACATGTCCTCCTGTCCTGTACTCTCTACAAAGAGCTGAGGAACAAGATCACCACCCCACTGGTACTGACCATCCCAGGACGCTCAACCACTGCCACAATGTCCTTTCTTCTGTCGGATCAAAATCAGCAGATAACAGCAAAGGTTGCTAGGTTCATAGCAGGGGCAATCAGAATAAGGGTCACTAACTGACTGCTTTGGGAGAAAAGCAATGACAAACCTAGACAGCATCTTAAAAAGCAGAGACACCACCTTGCCAACAAAGGTCCGTATAGTTAAAGCTCTGGTTTTCCCAGTAGTGATGTATGGAAGTGAGAGCTGGACCATAAAGAAGGCTGATCGCCGAAGAATGGATGCTTTGGAATTCTGGTGCTGGAGGAGACTCTTGAGAGTCCCATGGACTGCAAGAAGATCAAACCTCTCCATTCTGAAGGAAATCAGCCATGAGTGCTCACTGGAAGGACAGATCCTGAAGCTGAGGCTCCAAGACTTTGGCCACCTCATGAGAAGAGAAGACTCCCTGGAAAAGACCCTGATGTCGGGAAAGATGGAGGGCGCAAGGAAAAGGGGACGACAGACAAGATGGTTGGACAGTGTTCTTGAAGCTACCAGCATGAGTTTGACCAAACTGTGGGAGGCAGTGGAAGACAGGAGTGCCCAGCGTGCTCTGGTCCAGGGGGTCATGAAGAGTCGGACACGACTAAATGACTAAACAACAACAAACTGACTGCTGACTCAGGACTTTAAATTGTGCTTTTGTATCAAATTTCCTTTTCTGCGTATACTGTAATGTTTTATTGTTGCTATGGCCATTGGCTAATGCGAATAAAGTTTTATTTATCTATCTCCTTCAGCCATGAAGCTCCGGGGCCAGTCATGGCCTGACCTACCTCATAGGGTCACGGTGAGGACAAGCCATGTGCACAACCACCTCCAAAATCCGCATACGCCATCAAGAGCTCCTTGGAGGAAAGGTGGTGTAGTCTAACCGTGGAACTCCCTGCCACAAGAAGCAACTGGGACGGCTTTAAAAGAGCAATCACTGGGCAAATTCACGGAGGAAAAGGCTACCGATTTGTGGTTCTGCTCTGATTCCATAGACATACGACTCAAGAGAATTGGAAGGGACTGTAAGGATCATCTAGTCCAACCCCTTGAAATGCAGAATTTCCTTCAGGTACAGGGCGGTATAGAAATAAATTAAATATTATTATTTTTTTGCCTAAAGTGAGGCTTGAAGCCACAACCCTGAGATTGAGAGTCTCATGCTTTACAGATGGAGCTATCCCAGTCCCAATTCAAATTCCTGGCAAATGCAACAGGGCTTACTCGCAGGTAAGCAGGGTTCGGATCGTGGTCTAAGCGACGAAGCAGATAGTCACAAAATCATAGAATTGTCTGGCTAGAAGGGACCCCAAGGGTCTGGCTAAGTGTGGTACTAGTTCAGGGGTCAGCAAACTCAGGGGGCCGGTCCACTGTCCCTCAGACCTTGTGGGGGGCCGGAGTATATTTTTTGGGGGAAATGAACGAATTCCTATGCCCCACAAATAACCCAGAGATGCATTTTAAACAAAAGGACACATTCTACTCATGTAAAAACACGCTGATTCCTGGACCGTCCACAGGCCGGATTGAGAAGGCGATTGGGCCGGATCCGGCCCCTGAGCCTTAGTTTGCCTACCCACGTACTAGTTCCTCCCTTGATCTGAACATTACATTTCTGTTTATTGAGTCTAGAATTGCATGAGCTATTTTTGCTGCTGCATCACACCATCGGCTCACGCTAAGCTTGTGGTCTACCAAGATCCCTAGTTCCTTCCTGCAAGTTCTGCTGGCAAGCCCCCTGTTTGCGCCAATTTGGATCTCGCCTCTGCCATCCAATCGCTCAGCTGCCCTTGTGCACCTCACTCTGTCTTCTTCACTCCTCCTGCCTCAGATCTGGGGGTCTATAATACTGACCACCTCCTATGGGGCAGCTGTAAGATACAACTGAGCAATACAAGGCCCTGAAGCACGGCACAAAACACTCTGCAAGGGACTCTTGAATGCGTAGGCAGGATTTATTTTAGGGCTGCAGGAAACTACAGCTAATCCAGAATGCGGCAGCTAGACTGGTGACTGGGAGCGGCCGCCGAGACCATATAACACCGGTCCTGAAAGACCTACATTGGCTCCCAGTACGTTTCCGAGCACAATTCAAAGTGTTGGTGCTGACCTTGAAAGCCCTAAACGGCCTCAGTCCAGTATACCTGAAGGAGCGTCTCCACCCCCATCATTCTGCCCGGACACTGAGGTCCAGCTCCGAGGGCCTTCTGGTGGTTCCCTTGCTACGAGAAGCCAAGTTACAGGGAACCAGGCAGAGGGCCTTCTCGGTGGTGGCACCCACCCTGTGAAACTCCCTCCCACAAGATGTCAAAGAGAAAACCAACTAACAGACTTTTAGAAGACATCTGAAGGCAGCCCTGTTTAGGGAAGCTTTTAATATCTGATGCATTACTGTTTTTTAATATTTTGTTGGAAGCCGCCCAGAGTGGCTGGGGAAGCCCAGCCAGATGGGCGGGGTATAAGTAATAAATTATTATTATTAATTATTATTGTGTTAGGGAGTGCAGAACTGTGTTATCTGTGACGCAATTGGTCAGTTCGTTAAGTATTTTTATTTATTTACTTGTTTGAGGGGGCAGCTGCTCCCCCTGGCTACGCCCATAGTACTCAGACATTCGACTGTTCAGGGACATAAGGAGCAGCAACGGAATGTTTGCAGTCCAGACTCTGCGAGTGAAGGGAATGCTGTCAGTTCAGTTGGGATGAAGATTACCAGCCGAGACCCTGAGGGAGAGAAGATTTGAAGCCGCGGGGAAAGGCGAGGGTTGGAAAATTTGATGTCGATGGGGTTCCCAGAGCGGGAAGCCTTGGGACATGTAGGGTGTTTAGAAGTGGGGACTGAGAGAGGATGGTTAAGAGCCTAGTTGAAGAAGCAGAATTTCACAGAGGGATTTGAACGGCACCAGTCAATTCCTTAGCCACATATTAAAGGTAAATGTAAAGGGACCCCTGACCATTAGGTCCAGTCATGACCGACTCTGGGGTTGCGGCGCTCATCTCGCTTTGTTGGCCGAGGGAGCCGGTGCACAGCTTCCGGGTCACGTGGCCAGCATGACTAAGCCGCTTCTGGCAAACCAGAGCAGCACGCGGAAACGCCGTTTACCTTCCCGCCAGAGCGGTACCTATTTATCAACTTGCACTTTGACGTGCTTTCGAACTGCTAGGTTGGCAGGAGCAGGGACTGAGCAACGGGAGCTCACCCAGTCACAGGGATTCGAACCGCTGACCTTCTGATCAGCAAGTCCTAGGCTCTGTGGTTTAACCCACAGCGCCACCCGCATCCCATTAGCCACATATTATGATTGGCTTAAATTAGGCCTAGGCAAACTCGCCCTCCAGATGTTTTGGGACTACATCATCCCTAGCGCCACAGCGTCCCAATAAAGAGGTATAGAAATGAAAGAAATAATAATAAATTTCATTGCAAAATAAAAAGGCTGCCTAGACATTTCGTTGTGGCAACTGTAACGGAGGTTTAGGGTGCCATTTGGCAATTAACATACAGTATATATCTGAGTTTCTAACGCTGGCAGAGAGATCCGTCATATTCGCGCCTCCAGAGCACATGTCAATCCCACTCCAAGCCCTAACAGGCCCCTGACTTGTCTGTTGAGAAATCCTTCAAGCCAGTTGACCTCAAGTCATGGGCGTGGGAGAAGAGAAAGATCTAGGAAGCAGCGGCTGGGGGTTGGGGAGCAGAATGAGGTAGGGGATTTTTTGGGTGAGGGGTGCAGATATTGGAGACAGGAAATCTCTGAGGACTTTGCTCAGGTGGGGTGGAAATTGTTACCAAACCAGCTATTTCCTTCTAGTTCACGTGGGGAAAATGAAACTAAAGTACTAAACGTCTTTTTTTTAATCCGGAGGCCACAGCGGAGAGGATATTGAGGGAGGGTCCCCCCAAAAGCTCAGGAATGCAGTAATTTGGGGTGCCTGCAGAGGGGAGGGAGAGGGACCCCCCCTTCCTCTTTGGGACACTGAACAGATTTTTTTTGTAGCTCTGGCTGGGAGAGTTGTGCAGCTAAGAGAAAAGTTTTGCACTTTTAAGAACTCATGTCTCTCCAATTTCTCTTCCCTTTCCCCCTCCTCTCAACATCTTGTGGGTATATATATATATATATATATATATATGCGTAAAGACAGTCTTTTTATCTGCCTACTGCAAACTGTCTCTCTGTTTCTCTTTAAAAAACAGCAACGCCACCCAAATCAACAGCGCAACCTCTACGCAGGCCTGTTTACTCAGGAGGGAAGTGCAATGGAGTACAGTGGGGTTTCCAACCCACCCAAAAAAGCTTGCATGGGGATAGCACTGTTAAAATATTCTTGGGATGGTGTGCAGACATTGGTGGGGTGGGTGTAAAGAAGAGAGTCAAAGAATTCACCCCCCCCAAAAAAAAACTCCACACACATTGCATGGGACGTGAATCTGAAAAGGTTTTGGGTGCTACAAAAATGTGCAGGGCACAATGGTTGATTTCCATCTAAAATAGGAAATTTGTAGTGTTCTGTAGTGGTTATAGTGTCAAACTAGGACCTGGGGGAGGGCAGGGTTCACATCCTCCTACTTGGCCACACGGAGATCACTGGGTGTGATCAGTCCCTGCCTCCCTCAGACTAACCTACCTCAGAGGGCTGTTGTGGGGTTTAAATGAGAGGGGTGGAACGATGAACGCCACTTTAAAGATAAAAGGTGTTCCACAAACGCAATAAACAAACGTGTTTTTTAAAAAGAAATATTGATAGTTGAAGACTTCCACATTGATCCACACTCGGGATGTGAATTTGAAACAATGTGTTGGATGTTGCAAAAACTGTGTGTATGTTTCCCTATGGGGAAAAAAACATCAATACCCTGTTCCCACAAAGAGTTTCAGAAACAATTATAATCTCACAAGAAGGAGAGGTATAAAATGTGGCCCGACTTCAGAACTAGAAATCAGATCTGACAAGCCCTTGTCTTTCTCTCACACACAGAGGCAACCGCACAAAACAAGCCTGTTTCTTTCTTCTGACTTGAATGAGTCAAATCTAGAGAAAGGAAATGGAGGGGGGGGAGGAGGAGGAGGAGGAGGAGGAATGGGTAGAGTGGTGGGAGGGAAATCTTTTCGCAAGGTTTTGTAAGAGCCTGTAAGAAGCTTTGTGAAGTGGCTACTGTTTCTTTAAAAAAAGTACAGAAAAAAATAATTTTTGGCTCCCTTTGTCAGAGAGAGGCCTCGAATCTTGCTAAACTCCCCGGGTTTCAAGAGCGAGCTAAAAATTCTGATGTAGAAAGCTGTGGGGAGCAGGGCCTCTCCAAACCCCCATTCCCCAAAAGCTCAGGGGTACAGCTGATGGGAAAAGGGGCGCTGAGGCTGTCTGAGCCCCCCCTAAAGTCCAAAGCCGCTTACCGGCAGAGTTGTGGCGCTTTCCCAAAAGCCACATGAAGAGTATGGGCCTAATGTGAAGTGGGCCAGTTTTGCAGAAATTATGATGTTTTCAGCTCACACTTCGCTGAGCTATGGGGTTTCAACCTTCCCACCCACCTGCCCCACCTGCCCCACACAATCCAGAGGTGACACAAAACCGCTGTGGGTTTCGGCAACTTTAGGAAAGGGTTTAAGCATTCAAATTTTTGCAGAGGCCTTTGCTTTCTTGAGGAGCATGAAGGAGCCTTGGGCTGAGTAATTTTCCCCCCTAGGAAAAGGTGTGTGTGTGTGTGGAAGGAGGTCAAGGATCTAATGTTGCTTTATGGACGAAAAAAATTATTATGACCGGCGAACAACAGACAGTGGAAAATCCAGAAATATGTTTGAAATAAGGGTCGGGGGAAGAATTAAGAGGCAGACAGAGACTTCCTGGCTTCCCCCTCTTTTTTTCCTTTCTGTTGGTGGTTCAGTTTTTTAAAAAAACTTTTTAAAAATGTGTCATGGGATTAAAAGAGAGAGAGAACATGAGAACTTTGCTAAAGGATTTAGCCAACCAGCTTTTAAAAAAAACAACAAAATCCTCTAGGCAAAGGACGCTGAGAGATTTTTAACACCCATTTTTTCCCCCCTGAATCAATGGGACTCAGAGTTTCCTTTGGCTAAAAAATAAAAAGAAATCCCAACTTGGGAGAGGCTTGGGAAGGACACGCCATCTCCCAAGGTCTGAAGCGAAAGCGGATTTGAAAGAAAATGGAAAGGTTTATTTCGTCAAACAAACAC